GTTCGTTAACCGAAGCAATTTTTCCCATAGAAATTAATGCAAATACAATTAATCCGTTCTAGCCGTCAGTATTTTTGTAATTTTATTTGTAAAATGGGTTTTCTTTAATGAAAATATAGGAAAACGTACTCATAAACAGTCGATCTACGTTAAATTTTCGGAAAAAAGGAAAGATTTGACGGGTATATAAAACATCACATACGATCGTTAAAGTTCTAAAATGACAGATAGCAGAAACAATAGGCTAAATTATGAGCGAAAGGCTTGTAGGTTTATCAACAATCTCCGATCAGAGTCGACGAACAGGTGTCAAATAAACACCTCGGAACAAACTTTTCTCTTGACCTGATCTGGTTTCGGTTTTCATCTGGAGACAAAAAAGAAAACAATCGGGAAGCGAGGAATGGGACGCAGGACAAATCGTAAGGTAAGAATCAAGGAAGAAATACTATAAAAACCCCGAATATCAAGGTCAAAATGCAGTTTTCCTAAAAATTCTATGGCGATTAATCTGTGTCGTCTTCGTCCGGATTAAGCCTGAAGTCGTTCCCGCTAAAATTTGTGTTGTGTCTCGCGGACCACTTTAGTCTTGCGGCTCTGAAACCTACCATCGCTTCTGTGACCAAGCGAACCCATCTCGTCCGTTCTGGGGCTATGACTGATCAGCTTGCACTATCGTAGGACCAGCGATACGCCACTCCTCAGTGCCGAGAGAAAATACTGTAGATAAGCCATTTCCAACTACCTCAAATATGTAAGCATCTTCCCGTTCTAATAAATGATTTTCACTATAAAATACTTGTCATCTTTGTCTCCTCCGCCATCACCAACGTACGAATGGACCCTAGACCATCACCGACACACGATTAACTGATTTTCCCTAAAATTCAGCAAGCTTACAAATTTGACACAAAAAGCCGTTAAGTTCGTTATCCGAGACAAAATTTTTGCAAAATAATAGTTCGTTAACCAATTTGGTCGTTAACCAGGACGTTCATTAACCGGGGTTCCACTGTATATAGAAAAACTATATTACATACAAATAAAAACCCAGCAAAGCGGGTTCTTGCAGCTATAATGTAACTATCTTAATCTTCACTATCGTTACTTTTTGCCCACAAATAAAAACCCAGCAAAGCGGGTCTTTGCAGCTAGTTATTTAATAATATAACAATATAAGTATATTGAATTATATGTATTTAAAATCATATTATTGACATTTTCAATACATAAATAAAATGAAAGTATTTTAATTTCCAAACAGTTTAGAAATCTTATACTATTGATTACAACGATGCACTGTTGCTAATCCAAACCAGTTTTGTTCATTTTGTTTATTTCAATGTCTGCTATTTTTACTATGATGATAATAAATTTTATACAAAACATCCACCAAACACCAAAATGCCAGCTTTGAAAGCATATATTTAATGCAAAATGAATGTTTTTGATTGCTTTAAGCAACCATTAAATTTACGTTTTCAAAGCTGGAGTTTCAATATTCGATGGATGTTTTATATTATAATCATTTCTAAGCTGTTTTAAATTTTATACTATTTTGAAATGTATTTAATTTTAAAAGTTAATGAAAGTTTGCAGTACAACATTAAATTTCTTTCAAAGAAAAGGTCATATTAAATTTGTTTTTGAAAGATTTCTAGATGAATGAAAAAAGATTTAAAAAAACTACTACTAGTAATTGCAATACAGCACTTAAACACAAAAACAAAAATAAATTTTGCCTTTGAACAACATTCATTTTAATGCAGACTTGTTAGTCTCAGTATTTGACAGTACTTTTTAAAAAAAAAAAAAATAGATTTAAAGAATATATTTATAAAATTAACATACTATACATTTTAACATAAACAGGAAGTTCATATTATAAGTAATCAATGAGGATTAAATTATGGCCATTTTAAGTTATTCACTTAAAATGTGAACATCTAAAAACCAATATACAGTAAATAATTGGAAAGAAAAAGTTTAATTGGGACTGTATTACAATAAAACAGGTGTGTATATATATACATCTGTTTTATTGTAATACAGTCCCAATTAGATTTTTATATGTTGTGTACTGTACTGTACTAACTCCTCAATTCAAGCTCTGAATATGTTTGAGACTTTAACAGAGCTGTAGAGCATACTCATAGGAACAAAAAAGTCAAAGGAAACATATCTCCACGAGCAACCCTTTGCGAGATATAGCCCCCAGAATTACTCTGTGACATATTCCTATGCTTTTTTTTTTCAAAATTAACTACATTAATATCATATTACAGCTTGCAGTATAGTATGCTTAGGATTTAAATATTAATGCAAAGATAGAATTTTCAAGAACTGTAATCTTGTGATCTTAAAACAGAGATAATATAAAAACTATTGTTAAAGAGAAACAATAGCATATATCATAATTACACATATCCTACGATTAAACAAGTTATTACCTCGATATACTGTAAACAGTGACAAAATAAATTATAAAAACATATAATTGAAACAATCATTTAAAAAATTCATTTTTACGTCATACGAAATTATTTAATATACAATAATATAATACAAGCTTTATTAATGCAGAAACATCTGTTACGTAAAACGATTAACTTATTTACTAAGGAAAATAAATGAATATAAAAAAATTCATCAATTTCAAATGCCATTTAACTCACATGCAACATATTTTAAAACGTTATAAATCATTTACTAAGTGCATAAAATGTGTAAAATTTAATGAATAAATTTACCTGTGTCACCAATAATTATATATTTGAATAAATATGCATAAGACATCTTCGCTCCTTATTTACTAGATTTAGTACACAAACAAACAAGCCAACCCACTGAATCATACGGATTGCGTCAGCGCTAGTGGCGACATCTTTCGGAAAATTAAAATTAATCAGGATTTCACAATTTTTTTATTTTTAAATACATTAATAAATGAAATGTGTTCGTGAAAATTAATTACATAAAATTACAGTTAAAAATTCACATTATAAAATAATAAATTTTAAATAAATTTTANAAGTATCGTAATTAATAAAATATTAGCGTGTAATTAAAGCTACGAGCCTCTGATCGGTAACGTTTCTACCATAAGGACATAGTAAGATGTTTCGTTTTCGACTACGAGTGACGTCAAATAAGCAACCAATGAGAAGCGTTTCTTCTCTATGAGGCAACCTGATAAATCTAAGACCTTGAGTCTGTGACACATTCGATGAGAGAAGTTAAAGGATTTTTGAAAATTTTTCGGTTTTTAAAAAATGTAGAGAGTGAAGCTCTTAAAATAAAAATAAATTTTATTTCGAGAATTTTCAGGTTAATTAGTCTCAAATTCTTAACTGTTGCAAATTTAGGTTATTGGAACTAAAAATAGGAAAATGTCTTTTACAGGCAAAAATTATTAATCATCGAGTAATATAATGTTAAACGCGAGTTATTTACAATTGTAGAAAATACCAGAAATGACTGCATAAATATAAATATGATTATTTTTATATACATTTACTACATACATTTATCAGTTGAGCGTATGATTGGTTTGACGGATTACAGCAACGCAAAACATGGGCGACGAAGAAAATATCTCATTTTTCTATACAGTAAGCGAAGCAATAATTTTACCAGACAACCAAAAACCAATCCGTGCCAAGAGGAATACCTCTCGGAAGGTTTTTCTGTAAGAAACTGGCTCCCTATTCGGGTATTAGACACTTGAAGAAAACCCGGAAAACTTCACGGAGCCAGTCCTTGGTGAGGCGTGATTCAGAACGGTAAACTGACGCCTAAACCACTGAACACTGGAAGTGTTCAGTGGTTTCATCCACTCGGGCACTGGTGAGCCTAGGCGGTTTAGGCTTCAGTTTACCGTTCTGAAGAGTCAGGATCAAATCCGGAAGGTTAATAAACCCCAGGAATTTTTTGGTCGTAAAATGTCTCAGATATATGGATCCCGTTCCTTATCATTCAGCCATTTCCGTTGTGAGTATGGTCGAAATCACGTTAGATATAAAAAAAAAAAAAACTCCCTCGGTGCCCACAGGACAGAAAAAGTTAAAAATATATATATACATTTTGCATATATTTGACATAAATAAATACTTAAAATCAAATCGAAGCTAGATTCTTTGTCATCTGATCTGAATACAACAGTTTTAGTTGTTAGTTAGTTGATGTTTAAAATTAGAAGTTCAAATAAAAATATTTTTCTATATGGGCCTACAGAAGAAATTACTTTAATATCAAGAATTACATAACGAAAAATTTAGTTTTTCAAACATTTGAAACACGATCAAGCCATTTAAAAAGTTAATTGAACCTATTGTAAGTTGCCAAAACATTATCAAATAAATTAATAATCAGTTTTCCAATATTTATATATTAAAATTCACAAGACATACTTATTTGAAATTCTGAAAATGCATTTCAGTTAATTTAATTTCATTCATAGTTTTTTCTATTATATTTCTATTTATGTATAAAATATGGTAGATAATACAATTTTGCTGATATTAAAGATAGAAATTGAACAACTAAAACAAATAAAAATAAATAAATAGAAAATAATTTAAAAATAATATTTAGTTGAGTAGAGAAGGAAAGTTGAACATGTTAAATCATATAAGGAGTAATGACATAAAAGCCTCGAATGTCACGCTAGACTGTTAACTCTAAATTTGTACAGAATTCAGAGTTAACAGTTACAAAAATATTTATACTGTGTAGAGAGGGCTTTAAAATTTTTTTATCGTCTAATCATCTTAATTTTACCAATTTCTATTATCAGTGAATAGATCTATGGAATATATACTCGGTACAGTTTATTTTAAGAATCACAGTAAGAAAATCAGCTTTTGTTTCGTTATTCAGATATACAGTCCTTTAGCTACGGGGGGGGGCACTATGAGGTGGCTAAGCCCTTCAGCTTAGTCAGTAGTGCCTACATGCAGTATACAGTATATATATTTTTGCTTGCATTACGTAAACTTACGCTACTGTTACTTATTTTTACATTTAAACTGTAGCTACTAGACCTAGAAGTTATTTTTTCAGCCCCTATGGCTGAAAAAATAACTTTCACAATTTTTTCATGTCTCTCTAACTCCCAATTATTTAGTCATGACTAGGTGAATGCATGTATATGGATTCGAATAAATGCATTTTTGCTAGAAATGATCTATTTGTTTCGTGATTCTTTAAAGACTGTCTACAATGTAATTTAAATACTGTAACAATGTAAATGATACTCTAAGATATATCTGCCGGTAAACAATTAACAGCAATTTAAAGCAAGACACCGTGTAGAAAGAGGATGTCATTAAATAGATACATGACACGAAAAATTTTGTTTATATTCTAAAATCAAATTTCTCTTTTCCCAAAATCACATTATAATAAAAATCGAAAAATTTGTATCTAATTTCTATAAGTTTTTTTTTAAACTCTTTTCTTCCTATGGGCACTAAGAGGGCCTCTTTTAGCAAGCCCATTATGGGTTTGGCCAGGCTCACAATAGGGCGACCGGGTGGTGAGGGACGGGAACCGACATATCCGGTCGGAATTTCTATATGTTAGAATCCGCATACTTTATTGAAATATTCTTGAAAACTTATGTACAAAAAGTAAACTTCTGTTACTACGATTTTAAGTTTTTTCTTCATTGGTACAGATAAAAAATTTTAAAATTTATGTTAGGGTTTTGGACTCTGCACTTGTTCAAAAAGTTCGTGACGATTCATGGTGCCTCCGTTTCTATTGTTTGTTTTTCGTGACGATTTCGAGCAAAAGTATTATTGCATTAAAGGTAAAGTAAAAATAAAATAAAGGTATTATTGTATATATGCATTATGTACTGCATAATTATAAATATACAGTATACAGAATATAATTTTTTAAAATAAAAATATTTGAATAAAATTAATTTTTAGTGATTAATTATATTTAAATTTATTTTATAATTAAAATTATATGCTCTATACATTTCATAAATATAAGTAAATTTATGAGATCGAGTTTAGACACGAGATGGCGTGGAATATCAAAACATTGCAAAGACTTTAAACATTTGCTCTTAGTTTAAAACTAAACATTTCTTTTTATTTTTGTTTTCATATATAATTATTTATTTATAAATTTTTAATATTCTCAATGATATATAATGATGCGATTTCAGGATTATTTTTAAAGAGAATATATTGATTTTAATTGAAATTACAGTACTTTTATATAACAGCTGGTAAGAATCTATATTTAAATATTTACATTGTAGATACATTTTTATAAAGAAAATTGATTATCATTATTTTTTTATTAGAATAACTTCATTCCAATTATTGTAAACTTATGGAGAATGCAGATATTCTTCTAGGTATTTATTATTAATTGTTTTTTTACATAACATTATTAGCAAATTATAGATTATAAGTAAAATTTAAAACTGTGCATTGATAGAATTGAACTTTTCAAACTTGTAAAAATGGCTAAATAAGTCAAAATGGAATAAATTAATGAAGAAATAATAAACTTTGCACATGTAACCAAAATTTAGCAAGAAGAAATTAGAAGAAAGCTAACTCGAAGAGTTAATACCCGCCAGTGTCCGTTAAACACGGATGAAAATGTTTGCTTTCTTGTAATTTCTTCTTGCTAGATTTTAGTTACGTGTACTGTACAGTGTTTATTAATGTATACCCAGTTTTTGACTGGTTGAATTGAAGAAATAATTTCAACATGTTAAAAAATTTTTAAAAATGCCTTTATTGGTTGTTTTTTTAGATTAGACTTGGATACACAAACATATAAAGTATATCTATTAAAAGGTATATTGACACATGCATTGTATCATGTTTTCTATTAGAGATTACACAAGTACAATGTGCATCCTTTTTGATGGATGTACATTATCTTATCGACTTACTCAATTTACAATAGATGTGAAGATTTGTCAATGAACATTGCATACAACAGAAGAGTGTGCATATATGTGGCCACATGAGCTCAGAATCAGTGATACTGAAATGGTAATATGTTAATTTGAGAAAAGACCATTAGTGTGGGATACTGTACATGAAGATTATGAGAACAAACATAAGAACTCAGCATAGATTGATATATGTTCAGAAGGATAATTCATCAATGGATTTTTCAGATATTCTGAAATAGTGGAAAAACTTCTTAGTCTTTTCTAAGGCAAGTAAATAAAGTATAAAAATGGCCGCACAGATGTCATTTACTGTTTATTGGAATGAGCTCAAGACTTGGATTTAGTTTTTAAATATTATTGTATTAAATAAAAATAAATGCTATAATTTTAAGCATCAGTCCTGTCTGCAATTTTCTTTCACATACTGTCTAATAATGTGATGTATAAGCAATGTTGGCAAAAGTAATTTTTTGCAGTGTGTTGTCTAAGCAACATCCATCATGTATAGTACTTTATATACTTGTGTATTCTCAGACTTAGAGGTGGAAGTGCCATCATCCCTCTATATATATCACTACAGTCATACATCAAATGATTAAATTTTATAGTTGGATATGTTTACCGAGTTTCAGGGTGGGATGATGGTGGAGAAGGGGTCACTCCCTAAAACATTATTAAATGCATTGTCATTGGACTTAGGTATGCAGTAAAAGTTTCATCCTTCTATCTTAATTAGAAATGGATAAAATTTGGGTTGCAAGATTTGAGGACATGGTACAAAGCAAGTTAAATAAAAAGTTCAATTAAAAGTGAAATCATGAAAACCTTTAAAAACTGAATAAATTTACTATTTTATGTAGGTTAGTGTTTATTGTAAACATTTTACTAAATCATAAGTCTACACAATGGCTTTTATATTACTTTCTGGAAAATACACTGTATATTTCTTATTATAATCTAATTAAAATAAATCTATTAAAGTATTTTTTAATTTTCAGTTGCTGCAGATATATTAAGTGAATTTTTAGAAGTAGCAATTCATAATATTCTTTTTGTTTGCAATGTTTATCCTGCTGAAGCATTTGAAAGACGAAGAAAATATAATGTGCCTGTTCAGGTTTGAATATTTTTTATTATTTAAAGTTATTTCCATTTTGTTATGATATAAAAATGAATTTGATTTTTAAAAATATAACCCTCATACACACTTGTTAACCTTTATCCTCGGTATTGGTTAGATTTTGGAACAAACGTTTTCAGCCTCACTCACGTGCATATCTTCAAATTTATTTTATTTTAAAACTCAAAGTTGGAAAGTGTTTCAAAAACCATTCTAAGTTTGGAATCTAGTTTTCATTTAACCTAAAGCAAATCTCGAGAAAGGCTGAGAACGTTTGTTCCGAAATCTAATCAGTACCATGGATAAAGGTTCAATGAGTGTGTATGAGGGTGATCATAACACCGGTTAACAGAATTGTGAAAAAATATAAATAGTGTACCAGTATCATTATACCTTATGTAATTTAAATACAATTATATATTTACATTATAAATTTATTTCTATCCTGATTATGCCATGAAGATATAGAAAGATAAAAGAATAGTTTCATGAAGTTACTGAGTTTAAACTGACTTCTGCTGAACATAAACCTATTAATTATTTAAATGCTTAAATCTATTAATAAAAAATAACAATTTAATACATTTCAATTAATTCCAATTTTACTGCAATTTAGTAGACAATACATTTTATTTTATAATGTTTTACTATTAACATGCATGCTGAATAATAGAGACCTTATGACTGCATTTTCATTAGAATTTACGATAAAAAATACAAAAACTGTATTTTGTCATTGAAATAAACTGTTAAGAGAAAGACATTTTCAAGACTTCTTGCTCTTATTGTCAATTCTAGTATTAGAAACGATTAGAAGAGTCTAATAACAGAATCAGTAAGAATAGCTCTTGATAATATTTTTCTGTTAAAAGTTTACTTCAGTAACAAGATTTAGTCTTTAATATTTAACCTATGTTTCTAAAAAATTGTCTGAATTTTAAGTGGATTTGCAAAAAATTTTAAATAATACAGTATTAAAATTATATTTTGTTTAAATGATATATATTTTTTTTGTTTCTATAAGCTAAATACTGCATAATAAGTGAATATTCATTTTATATATAAAAATAAGTTAATCATAAAATAATATAAATGATTTTCATAAATATATTTGCTTACATAAAAATTGATTTGGTTGTATAAGTTGACTTCAAGATTTTCAGATCAAAATTCTGTTTTAGATTTATATCTATCTACCTGAAACATTTGGTAAACTAGTGATAGACTAAAACTGAAAATGTGGTAGTCTATGGTAAAAGCATTGAAATAAACACACTGAAACCAAAAATATCCAGCAGAAACAAACTTTAATAAACTAAACAAACATTTTCAATGGTTTTAAATTGTCATCAAGTTAATAAATGGTGTATGAATTTAAAATGTTCCTTCATCTTATTCCTTTTCAGTGTTAAATGCTGAATCTAGCACTCCAACAACGATGTTTATTTACTTCAGTATAGTTTGTGTTTCATTGAAACTTAATCAATTATAAAGAGAATGTTGGTACTGATTGTAGTGGCAATTAAATCTCTTAAAAATGGAGACTTTCATGGTCCTGGTTTATTTTTGTGAGCATTTAAAATTGTTTGCCTACCTTTTCTTTGTATAACAGCCAGATGAGAAACTGTAGAGACATGCTGAGTAACTTGTGGCCATTTCTCACAAGAAATGGTCTTGTTACAGAGGCTTCATAGAATGTCATTATCTGTTGTAAATATATGCCATATATGCCCTGCATTTAGCTCCTAAGCTTGCCTTTGATTTAACCATAATGTAAACTTATAGAATCTGTCTAAAATTGTGAAAAACATAAATTTTACTAGTATGGAGAAAACTATAGTAACTGTTAGTAACAGTAACTATAACTAAGTTCAATAATAATGTAAATTATATGTAGAAATAGAGAATTGAGTGAGTAGTTCTAGTTTCAATTTCAAATTTAAAATTAGCACAAAATAAATTTTTAAAAATATTTTCTATATTTTTGATCCAGTTTATTTCAAAACTAGCAGACCCCGCCATGCCTTGTTGTGGCTCAAAATGTATCTATTATAAATGTAAAACACTTCCCCCGTGGGGGAAAATTTTTCGAAAAATTTTTTTTTAGTGTACATTCTCTTGACGTACCCTATTAAAACGCAATCAAAAGCGCAAAAACCCGCATCTAAAATAGTATAATAGAAGCCAAGTTTTTCACAGTAAGCCTTAATCCTGTC